TTATATACCTCACTGTCCTGTCTCTTTAGATCTCCCTACACAAGGGCTATTGTACCCCGTCTTTCTATATATTACATACTGCTAACATCATTGCTATGGGTATATACTATGCCTTCCTCTTAGGACTGTATTTCAGGTTGTGCTACGATTTACTTATATGTCCTGAACCCGTCTGCGTTACGGGAGAACATGCTTAAAGACTTGCGCGGACTGCGATCCGTATTTGTTTATGACTTGTTATGCCTTTCATATCTCAATAAAAATTTCTTGGAAAAAAAAAAAAAAAAAAAAAAAAAAAGAGTATAAAAAAAAAAATCACACATATACAGTGAAGGAAATAAGTATTTGATCCCCTGCTGATTTTGAATGTTTGCCCACTCACAAAGATATGATCAGTCCAAAAATCGAATGGTAGGTGTATTGAGACAGAATAGCAACAAAAAATTCAAAAGAAATGCATGTATAACAAATGATGCACTGATTTGCATGTTCATGAGGGAAATAAGTTCAAGAAGAAGCACATTAAGGTCATGGAGTGGCCTAGAGAGTCTACAGACCTTAATCCTATAGAAAATGTATGGAGGAGCTGAAACTTCGAGCTGCCAAGCAACAGCCAAGAACCCTTAAGGATTTAGAGAAGATCGGTAAAGAGTGGACCAAAATTCCTCACGAGATGTGTGCAAACCTGGGAACCAACTATTATTTTGTTTGATTTTTGGTTGATATTCTGTCTCTATTATTTAGAGTACACCCAGGGGTGTATTTACCACAAGGCAAACAAGGCACTTGCCTAGGGTGGCATTTTTCAAGGGGGCAGCACCTTCCCCCAGAAGAAGGGATAAAAGAAGGGATACGCGCACCATGAGAACCAGGTGGGATCTGAGCAAGGCTGTGGGCTACTTGATGGTGCATGTAGAGCCTGACTCTCGTTCTCGGGGATGTCTGAAGCTGTGAAGATGAGTGTCTTTCTATCGCCGGGGGGATAGTGGAAGACTCTCCCAGGTGGGGGGGCAGAAGTGTTGGTCGGTGTCTGTGGGGGCAGACGATTTTTGTGTTGCCTAGGGCAGCACAAAACCTAAATACCCCACTGAGTACACCTATGATAAAAATTATAGACCCTTCATTTCTTTGTAATTGGACAAACTTACAAGATTTACAGGGGATCAAATAATTATTATCCCCACTGTATATATACGTGATTTTGCGCCCCCCCCCCCCCCCCATAGGGCGGTGGTAAAGCGGTTAAAACTAAACCCCCAAAGAGCTGACAAACGAAGCTGTCTTTAGTTCTAAATTGATGTCCATTCCTTTTTCCCAAATCCACCAGAATCCATGCTAAAGCAACAGAATGCTTAGAAGTTTTACACCTTTTTTTTTTTTTGTAATGTATAGGGATAAATATGATCCTTACTGAATCTCATATATAGAATGTTATAAATTGGCTGCATATTCCATTTTGTCTATGCTTTTAACTTCATATATTGCAAAACACATGTCATGATTGGAATTATGCCATTAGGCGTGTGTGCCGTGTTAAGAGGAGAATGGTGTTCGCTTTGGTCCTTCCAAAAGGTGATCTGTTTCTGTTTGAAAAGAAGTGCTATATAAGCAGGGATGCAAGACGGAATGCAAGAAGGACGGACAACGTATTCCCCATATACGTATATGCAATATATATATACTGTGGAGCCTTATCTCATCTGAAGGGAATTATTCAAGTTTCCTTTTAAAATGGAGCAAGTTGAGCAGGAGGTTCTAACCTCCCTACACCGTATACTATAGCCGTGTATTCCAATGATGAACAAAACACTGTAGTTATCTATCAATAGCTCTCAGCATTTTATTTGACACCCTGAACCAGATTTTGCTTCTTTAAGTTCTGAATCATAAATATGAAAAACGACATAGATCAGTACAATGAGCCGGGCTCCAGTTGGGGGAGATTCAAGAAACTGAATGAATCGGTTATATTTTCTATGAAAAACAAAAATGATTTTGAGTTCATCACATCAGGAAGAAGTCGTCAGTGTGTCCCTTTCTGAACAATCTGGGCAAAGCGATTGGTGATGGACAGGGTTGTGTCAATAAATCGGTCCACACAGTTTACTAAGCAGTTCTCGGTTCTTGAGTCCATCTTGTTGCTAGGTTTGTCCATGCATTTATCCCAGCAGACATCCATAAAGTTATGCACCTAGGAAAACGGAAAACCAGAAATATTAACAGTGAACAGAAAAAGCCTGAATTTTTCATTTCATATGCTTTATCAAGATTTTTTTTTCTAAATGTTGTTCATACTTTTGCTCAAGTTAAAATAAACATTTATCAACAGTAATTCCACGAACTAAAATCTATATATACAGCCAGGTCCATAAATATTGGGACATCGACACAATTCTAACATTTTTGGCTCTATACACCACCACAATGGATTTGGAATGAAACGAACAAGATGTGCTTTAACTGCAGACTGTCAACTTTAATTTGACGGTATTTACATCCAAATCAGGTGAACGGTGTAGGAATTACAACAGTTTGCATATGTGCCTCCCACTTGTTAAGGGACCAAAAGTAATGGGACAGAATAATAATCATAAATAAAACTTTCACTTTTTAATAATTGGTTGCAAATCCTTTGCAGTCAATTACAGCCTGAAGTCTGGAACGCATAGACATCACCAGACGCTGGGTTTCATCCCTGATGATGCTCTGCCAGGCCTCTACTGCAACTGTCTTCAGATCCTGCTTGTTCTTGGGGTATTTTCCCTTCAGTTTTGTCTTCAGCAAGTGAAATGCATGCTCAATCGGATTCAGGTCAGGTGACTGACTTGGCCATTGCATAACATTCCACTTCTTTCCCTTAAACTCTTTGGTTGCTTTTGCAGTATGCTTTGGGTCATTGTCCATCTGCACTGTGAAGCGGCATCCAATGAGTTCTGAAGCATTTGGCTGAATATGAGCAGATAATATTGCCGAAACACTTCAGAATTCATCCTGCTGCTTTTGTCAGCAGTCACATCATCAATAAATACAAGAGAACCAGTTCCACTGGCAGCCATACATGCCCACGCCATGACACTACCACCACCATGCTTCACTGATGAGGTGGTATGCTTAGGATCATGAGCAGTTCCTTTCCTTCTCCATACTCTTCTCTTCCCATCACTCTGGTACAAGTTGATCTTGGTCTCATCTGTCCATAGGATGTTGTTCCAGAACTGTGAAGGCTTTTTTAGATGTCGTTTGCAAACTCTAATCTGGCCTTCCTGTTTTTGAGGCTCACCAATGGTTTACATCTTGTGGTGACCCCTCTGTATTCCCTCTGGTGAAGTCTTCTCTTGATTGTTGACTTTGACACACATACACCTACCTCCTGGAGAGTGTTCTTGATCTGGCCAACTGTTGTGAAGGGTGTTTTCTTCACCAGGGAAAGAATTCTTCGGTCATCCACCACAGTTGTTTTCCGTGGTGTTCCGGGTCTTTTGGTGTTGCTGAGCTCACCGGTGCGTTCCTTCTTTTTAAGAATATTCCAAACAGTTGTTTTGGCCACGCCTAATGTTTTTGCTATCTCTCTGATGGGTTTGTTTTGTTTTTTCAGCCTAATGATGGCTTGCTTCACTGATAGTGACAGCTCTTTGGATCTCATCTTGAGAGTTGACAGCAACAGATTCCAAATGCAAATAGCACACTTAAAATGAACTCTGAACCTTTTATCTGCTCATTGTAATTGGGATAATGAGGGAATAACACACACCTGGCCATGGAAAAGCTGAGAAGCCAATTGTCCCATTACTTTTGGTCCCTTAACAAGTGGGAGGCACATATGCAAACTGTTGTAATTCCTACACTGTTCATCTGATTTGGATGTAAATACCCTCAAATTAAAGTTAACAGTCTGCAGTTAAAGCACATCTTGTTTGTTTCATTTCAAATCCATTGTGGTGGTGTATAGAGCCAAAAATGTTAGAATTGTGTCGATGTCCCAATATTTATGGACCTGACTGTAGCTGTAGACTGATTTCTGTATATCGTGAAAGGGTTTGAATTGGGCATGGGGGGGGGGGGTTATTAGCAGGATAATAGGGAGATAATACAGGCGCATGCTAACATTTTGGGGATCTTGCACAAGTTACCTGTTTGTCCCCTTGCCTACCGGGCACTTATACCCCCTTCCTGCCCAGGCCAATTTTCAGCTTTCAGCGCTGTCGCACTTTGAATGACAATTGCGCGGTCATGCAGCACTGTACCCAAACCCAATTTTTTATCATTTTTGAGACACATAAGAGCTTTTTTTTTGTTGGTATTTAATCATAACTGGGGTTTTTTTTTGGCTAAACAAAATTTTGAAAAAAGAAAAAAAAAAAGAAAAGTTTTTCTTAGTTTGTATTACAATATTTTGTAAATAAGTAATTTTTCTCCTTCACTGATGTGTAGTGATAAGGCTGCACGGATAGGCGGCACTGATGGGTACTGACAGGCGGCACTCATGGGCACTAATAAGACTGCACTGATAGGTGGCACTGATGGGTACTGACGGGCATCATTGATGGGCACTGATAGGTGGCACTTATGGGCACTGATAAGACTGCACTGATGAGGAGGCACTAACAGGCATCACTGATGGGCACTGATAGGTGGCAGTGACGGGCACTGATAGACTGCACAGATGAGGAGGCTTTGATAGGTATTGACAGGCATCACAAATGGGCACTGAAAGGCAGCTGTGATGGGCATTGATATGTGGCATTGATGGGCACCAACAGGCAGCACTGATGGGGGCTGCATTGATAATCGGCACTGGTGATCAGTGCCCTGATTATCAGTGAAGATGTCCCCTCTGAAGAATGCCCCTTAATGGCTCTCCTCTTCTCATGTGTTGTCAGCGTGAGGAGAGGACTGCCGATAACCAGTATTTCCTATTTACACCGTGTTCCAAATTATTATGCAAATTCTATTTAAGTGTCACAAAGATGAAATATTTTGTTTTTCAGTTTAACACATGGATGGCATTGTGTGTCAGGGCTCTTTTGAACACTGAAAACAATCTCGGACACCTGTGATAATTAGATTGGCCGGTGAGCCCAATTTAAGGAAAAAACACATTATTAAGCAGAGCACCATTTTCAAGCAATATGGGGAAGAAAAGGGATCTCTCTGCTGCCGAAAAGAGTGAAATAGTTCAATGCCTTGGACGAGGTATGAAAACATTCGATATTTCACGAAAACGTAAGCGTGATCATCGCACTATTAAGAGATTTGTGGCTGATTCAGAGCACAGATGGGTTGGTGCGGATAAAGGCACATTGAGGAAGATTTCTGCCAGATCCCTGCATCGGATCAAGAGAGCAGCTGCTAAAATACCATTACATAGCAGCAAACAGATATTTGAAGCTGCTGGTGCCTCTGGAGTCCCACGGACATTACATTACATTACATTGAGTTTATATAGCGCCAAAGGGTTTGCTCAGCGCTGTACAATAGAGGGGGGGGACAATACATGAAACATTACAGCAACTACAAACAGCACACGAGGGGTTATAGGGCCCTACTCTTTCGAGCTTACAATCTAGGAGGGAGGGGGTAGTGGTACAGGAGGAAGTGGCTGTGGGGGATGGAGTGGTAGGAAGAGTGGAGGAGGTCGGCAGGTTAGGAGGGGGTGGGGTAGGCTTCCCTGAAGAGATGGGTTTTCAGGGAGCGCCTGAAGGTGAGGAGGGAAGGTGACAGTCTGATGGATTGGGGTAGTGAGTTCCAGAGGATGGGGGAGGACCTGGAGAAGTCTTGCAGACGTGCGTGTGTGAGAGGAGACCAGGGAGCAAGATAGAAGGAGGTCCTGTGAAGAGCGAAGGGTACGGGTAGGGTGGTACTTGGGAATCAGGTTGGTGAGGTAGTTAGGGGCAGTGTTGTGAATGGCTTTGTAGGTCAGAGTGAGTAGTTTGAATTTGATGCGTTGGGCAATAGGGAGCCAGTGGAGGGGAGAGGCAGAGGGGGGTGGCAGAGGTGGAGCGGGTGGTGAGGTGGATGAGTCTAGCCGCTGAGTTGAGGATGGTCTGAAGCGGGGAGAGCCTGCACTGGGGTAGGCCGGTGAGGAGGGAGTTGCAGTAGTCAAGGCGTGAGATAATCAGGGAGTGCACAAGTAGTTTAGTGGTGTCTGGGGTAAGGAAGGAGCGTATTTTGGCGATGTGTTGCGGAGGTGGAGCCTGCATGTGTTTGTAAGTGATTTGACATGAGGTTGGAAGGAGAGGTTAGAGTCCAGAATGACTCCAAGGACTTTGGCTTGCGGGGCGGGATTGATGGTGGTGATGTTAGTAGTGATGGATAGGATGGGGGGGGGGGGGGCGCGGGCAGGAGGGAAGACGAGAAGCTCGGTTTTGGAGAGGTTGAGTTTGAGGAAATGGAGCGACATCCAGTCAGAGATGTCGTTTAGGAGGTGAGTGATGCGGGCGGAGAAAGTGGAGGTGAGGTGAGGGGTGGAGAGGTAAATTTGAGTGTCATCAGCATAGAGATGGTAGTTGAAGCCGTGGGAGTGTATAAGTTTGCCAAGGGAGGAGGTGTAGATGGAGAAGAGAAGGGGTCCAAGGACAGAGCCCTGGGGGACCCCAACAGAGAGGGGGAGTGAGGGGGAGGTGGCACCATTGTAGGTGACACTGAAGGAGCGTCGGGATAGGTACGAGGAGAACCAGGAGAGAGCGGTGTCTCTGATGCCAAGGGGAGAGTAGTTTATTAAGGAGGAGGGGGGGGGGGGTCAACTGTGTCGAAGGCCGCGGAGAGGTCCAGGAGGAGGAGGACAGAGTAGTCGCCTTGGCTTTGGCGGTTAGTAGGTCGTTGGTGATTTTGAGGAGGGCGGTTTCGGTGGAGTGTAGGGGACGGAAGCCGGACTGTAGTGGATCAAGGAGGTTGTTGTCAGTTAGGTGGGCGCTTAGGGCGGTTGTAGACTAAGCGCTCCAGGAGTTTGGAAGTGAGTGGCAGCAGGGAGATGGGTCTGAGGTTGTTTGGGTCAGAGGGGTCCAGGGAGGGCTTTTTGAGTATGGGGGTGATGTGCGCATGCTTTAGGGGGGAGGGGAATACGCCAGTAGAGAGGGAGAGATTGAAGATGTGGGTGAGGGAGCAGATGAGGGAAGAGGGGGGTGAAGAGGAGTCGAGAGGGGATAGGGTCCAGGGGGCAGGTAGTGAGGCGGGCTTCTGAGAAGACCCTGG